GGCGCGGGGGGGCAGACGCTCCCTGCAACCCCCCAGCGCCCAGGAGAACATGGACGGTAAGTGGGGTCGGGGGCCGCGGTCGTGGGGGGCTGCTGCGCTCAGGGGGGCTGGGGAATTCCCGGTACCTTGACCCCCAGCGAAATCTCCCCCCACATTCCCAAGAGGAGCGGGCAGGGAGAAATCTCTGCTGTCCTGCCCCCCAGACACACACATCGGGAATCCCCAAATCCATCTTTTCCTCCCCTCTCAATGTTCAGTCACTTCTCTCCCCCAGCCTGAGTTCCTGCCTCCCCTCCTCTGCCAGGCTCTTCGCTGCCTCTTTTGGTCACTGCAAAATGTACTGAGAGGGAGAGACTTTCTGTGGGGTTTTCATGCCTCCAGCCACAGTTTTGGAGCCTCTGGATGCCTCTCTCCTTGCCCCACTCAGTGTAGGGTGATTTGTCCCAGTGGTCCCCAACCAGTACATCAGGATCTGCTGGTAGATCTTGGGGCCACTGACAGGTGATCCTGACTGGTTTGGCCAGGAGGCTATCAAGCGCCTGCACTTCAGGTGCCCCTCCACCCACTCTTACACTACTCCTGCTTTGTGCCTGGGAGCTGCCCCCCTGGGAGCATCCTGCTTGCTGTTCAGGGTGCGGGAGGGAGAAGAAGGGGCACTGATCTCAGGGTGTCACTCCTTCCCTCACTTCTGTATCCTATCTTCACCCAGGGAGGAGGGGATGGAAGGAGATTGATATATATTTACATTGCCACTCACACACGGTGCGGCTACATCTAGACTGGCATGATTTTCCGCAAATGCTTTTAACGGAAAAGTTTTCCGTTAAAAGCATTTGCAGAAAAGAGCGTCTAGATTGGCACGGACACTTTTCCGCAAAAGCACTTTTTGTGGAAAAGCGTCCGTGCCAATCTAGATGCGCTTTTGCGCAAAAAAGCCCTGATCGTCATTTTCGCCATCGGGGCTTTTTTGCGCAAAACAAATCTGAGCTGTCTACACTGGCCCTTTTGCGCAAAAGGACTTTTGCCCAAATGGGAGCAGCATAGTATTTCCGCAAGAAGCACTGATTTCTTACATGAGATCGTCAGTGTTCTTGCGGAAATTCAAGCGGCCAGTGTAGACAGCTGGCAAGTTTTTCCACAAAACTTGCCAGTCTAGACACAGCCTGCATGTCTGAGTCTCTCACAAACATACACCGTCCTTCACTTGCAGCACCTGACAACACGTAAGTGGGGTATTCATTTCCCTGGTCAGACTAAGAAGGGATGCACCTGTCACAGGTAGATGTCAGTCAGTATGACCTGTTGTGACCTGGCAGTGAAAAAGCCCAGGGTGAAATCCTCCAAAAATAAGGACCATCACAAACTGCATCACCTTCTGCTCTAGAGTGCCAGGTGCTTTTCGTTGACCTTGTCCTCTAATGTAAACAACAGAGCCACAGATATATTAAAAAATGACCCTCCCAAAATCAGGCTCTCCACTGCACACACAGCCTTAAGAGAATGGAACAGAGACCAGATGTTGGTGTTTGGTTTGGGGGTCTCTTGGCTAAATTTTGACCAGGCTGTTTGAACAGAAATATACTCAGACATCTTCCTCACAGCTTTATTGAAGGAGCACCACTGACTGACTGACTGATAGGAAAGGATTGCAGCAGAAATGCAGCACAGATAACAGCCAGCTCATCCACCCCCAATGTAAATGTAAATGCAAAATGCTCCACTTAAAGAGGAACAATCAGTTTCACACACACAGAATGGGGGTGATGGCAGCACCTTGTGGTTTTGCTTTCACCCTTCAGGGCTCTTTGGTTGTAGGTTTCTTCCATCACCATCTTTAACAAACATGGCCAGGGTTTCTGGCTTCTGTCCCTTTGGAAGAATATGGGATTCATCCATTATCGATTCTCCCCCCAGTGTTCATCATCCACTTTTGCCCCCTTTGCCAGTCATTTCCCAAGCTGTGAACCTCTTAACCCTCTCCCAGCTGCCGATTTCTACCTCTGCCTCCCA